TGCCATCATCATATGATGTAAAGTCTCACACAACAACTGGTCTGAGTTTGACCAAAATTGGAGGCCTGATGGGGAAATATACTGTAATAACAAGAAAAAAAACGTTAATCAATCAGACCTAGACCTTTTAATCAATGTCAATGGTCATTTTAATTACCCAAATAAATTTTAATTACACATTTGCTAATCAGGTTAACTCCTACGCTGCAAATTTGGATAAAAGTGGACACAAATTAAATCTCTTCCCACAATTGCTCGCTCATTGGAGGCATTAAAAGTAGTTCTTCTGACTCAGTAGCTCAGACATCAGCTGCCCTAGGTAAAAAATGAATGAATGAATCATACTTTTACTGCCAGTTGAACGGTAACCATTCATTTATGCTCCAGAATAAGATGAATCTAAAGCATCAAATTCTGATTTTGGAATATCTGTAATTTTGTGTCACGCTTTTTTAATTAATTGCATGACTGACTCAACTTTGTGATGTTGCTGATTGGCCTGATTGGGTCATTTTGTGATGAGTCATATATATTTTTTGGGGAAAATACGTAAAGCAAAGACGTAGCAGAAATGATAAAATAAATCAAATTAAATTGGCCAAACATTTAGTAGGCTAATATCATCGTGACCAAAGTTAGTTTCATTGTACATCTAGAAAAAACGTGCGATTTTAACCCAATAGGCACAATAGCTATAATGATCTCATGTTGGGCTTGTCAGGTGTGGGCTACTACATGCTCCATAAATACTTCCTATTTCATCTTTTCTGGCAAACATTTGAGTGAAAAAAGAAAACGCCTGAACTTAATGAACAGTGCTTTAAACGCAGCTGTTAACCCCGTCAGGTCCACGCTGTCTTACCTGTCTGTCATGTGCTCTGCTGTCCAGCGGGTACTAAGCCTGCGGGCTCAGGGGACTCCAGACCCGCCCACCGGGACTCCGTTGCCCTCGACCTGCTCACCTGTCGGGCGGTGGCAACTGGAAACCAGTCAGCGGTGCTAGGAGGACTGGACGGGCGGAGAAGGAACAGTAACGTATCCACCACCGGACGGGAGGAAAACTCCATGTTCACATCCAGAACATCCCGACAAAAGTGATGTCCGCCGGTCAATGAATGTCACTGTGATGTCAACAGAGCAGTGTTGGCACTAGGCCTGTCCGGTAGGCTAATATTTGGTGACGCTAACACCGAGCTGTCAGTTGGAGAACTGGAAAGCAATCAAGTCAATTTTCGATTGAGTCGCCTGTAGAGGTCTGTTGTTCTTAAAAGGACGCTTCGTTCTGTGCGCTGCATGCTCCTCATCCACCACACAGGACTCTCTCTCTCTCTCCCTCTCTCTCTCTCTCCCTCTCTCTCTCTCCAACTTCCACTCGATCTGGCTCTCCATTTCTCTCCACCCACCCCTCTTTCTCTGTCTGTAGGTCTCCCTCTGCCCCTTCACTCTCGTTTTATCTGTCTGAATCGGAGTATCTGAAAGTCTCACCTTCACACTTCTAGCTCTTCTTCTTCATCCTGTCCATGCAGATCAGCTTCATTCAGATGTTGTATTTTGTTGATAAACTGTACGTTGCACTCATGTTAGACTATTGTACACAGTATTTCAAATATCTCGCATGGTTTACACTACATATCCTACAATAGATTTACTTAATATCAGCCTACATAGGCTACACTGTAAAAGAAAATACCCTGATGGTTATTCTGTAATTCTACTTACTGCTACTCCATCCTGCTTTTGTTATTGTTTGTTGTATGTTATTTTGTCTTTGATTTAACTAAAAGTCTCATTGAAGCCAATATCTCTTTTTCAAGAGAGGCCTTGCGGACAATATTGTTACAACAATAAAATCTATATAAGCAACATAGACAGGCTAAAAGAACTGCCACACTCTAATGTTCACCTTAAACACATTGGTGTGTGTTTCATAGATTACTTAGGATAAATAAAGTAATAAGAATAAATTCAGAATGAAATCTTCCCAATTACTACCATAACATGAAGAGGACAAACTTACTGTATTATTAATATAATCAGATGATGTACGGATGTTAAAATGAACAAATATATTTAAAATAAACTTGATTTAACAGACAATTGACAGACATCATCAGTGTCCACTGTAGTGCAGGTTTTGGCAAGCAGTCATGAATTCTCTCTCCCCCTCTCTCAATCCTATTCAACATTTTCCCTCTGTCTCTCTGTGGTATTGCAGGTCCATTCACATGTGCGGGTGCCTTTAACAGAGGAAAAAAAGAGAGATTAGGAGGACGACAGAAAATATTGAGATCATTTTAAGCAACTAGGCAGAAGCTGAAGGACCAATGTCACAGGGAACTGACTTTGGCCCTTTTTTTTAAAAAAAACATCAAGCTGTGATGCAGCCGGAAAATTCACCTCATAATACTGGTGACACTAACATTTGAATGTGTGCGTGTGTTAGCACTTCTGTATGCCTTTTCAGTCTTTGTGTACCCAGAGTCTTTATAGTGTGTGTGTGTGTGTGTGTCCGACAGGCTCACGATAGAGGATGCCCAACTCAGCATCTTCCCACCAACACTGCTGGCATTCACATCAAGTAATAACACCTTGCTCCTGAAAATTAAAGCCTGTAGCCGTACATACACTTTCTCACACAAACACACACACACCCATATAAAGGATTCAAATATAGGCGAGGTGCAACACAGTTTAACCTCATTTGAGGACACAGAAAGCAACCTCGCTGTTATACTGCAGAGACTTGGTGGGGTTCAGTAAACATGCACCAACACGTCCACACAGGCACAAGTACACGCGCACAAATGACACAGGCGCGGTGTTAAGGCTACCATGCAGTTTGAGCTACAGTTCAGATCAAATACAGTAAATAATTAACATCTTAAAAAGTGTTATAATTTATAATAATGACAGGCAGGGCAGGACACCAACTGAAGGTTAAAGTACTGTGTTAGGTCTGAAAGTTTACTGCTTCAAATCCCTGACCCTGGGATGATCTGGCTGGTGGTGCTGATGTCAGGCTGATTTTTCCTTAACCATATCAGCTCCATAAGTCAGCAAGCCTCGTGTTTGCTGACTTGTGTAGTTTGGTTGTGTCCTGTTCCCCTTATTGAGGGGACGACGTTACTGAATAGTTGCTGGTTATGATGCTTCTATAAACTATTCACCTTTTAGATTTTGATCCTTGAAGCGGAAGAAAATATGATGGGTGCAATTACTCCCTGATTTGAAATCCCTCAAGGCCCAAAGAAAGGGACATAACAAAATTAAGGCTTCCTGTAGAGCAAGTTTCAAATCTGTGGAATTCACACTGCAAATGAATAGCAGGCAAACGGGTTCTTCTTAAGGGGCAAAAAAAACCAAGTTACTCTGGTGTCTCCATCTAATTTGACTGGTAGCAGCAAGATGTTTGAGCAGGGGGGGGGTAACAGAGATGACTGGACTCCTATGGTAGACCTGTGATGGTCACTGGATGGACATCTGGTTTTAGGAGTCTCTCTAAACTAGACCACCTGCCATTCATTCTACATCTCCAAGAAGCAACACAATGAAATAAAAAATATAATTAATAATGCTATTCTTGATGCCTATCATTCAAACATTTATGGGAGGAGATATTATTTTACTTGACTTTTAATGCCTTTTATGAATAAATTAACTAATTAGGCAACATACACCTTATGTTATTTTATAATGATGCATTGGATACTCACTGATTTGTGATGCCATTGTGCCCTCTAGTGTTACAGAGTAAGAAGGAGGCCTGTTTCCCTGTAGTCTCTCTAGACTGCTCTCATTGGGCAGATCCAGCAGAGTATGGAGATTAGATTTAATTAAAATCGCCCCCAGCCCGTCACCCACTGAACTTAAGATCTACATTCAGCAAACTGTGACAGGTTTTAATATCCAAATTACGCAGCCCACCGATCAATGCAGACGATAACTGCTGACTCGGACAATTTCAATATCCTCTCCCTCTGACAGCAATCAACAACAAATGCACCGTTATGACCGGGGCAGACAGAATTTATAAACCACAACAATGGGATAAAGAGAGTTGTTCGTTCTACAAAAAAATAAAAAATAAAAGAGTGAGTTAGAGGTGTGTGAGTCAGGACTAAATCAGGAGAAAAGCCACTGGAGTTAGCTGAAATAGTGGCCACAAGCCAAGAAGCCTGAGCACCCACTATGTGTGGCTGCAGCAGTGCCAGGTCTGGGGACACATGAGTTATAATGCCTGTAAATCAGTCTGCATCCAGCTGACTCCCCAGCTTCCTTCCCATCATCAGCACACACAAGCAGTTAATACTGCGTGCGTCTACATGTGTTGTAGAGGAGAAAGAGCAGCGCCCTTACTAGATGAGAGGCTGGAGGAGGAAAGCCCCGGGTGTGTGGGTGGTTGATTACCAGATGTAACAGCTCTCGAACAGAAAAGCTGACGGAAACCTTTCACTCAATCAGTGTTCTGTACAAGAAAGGGAGTCAGTTTTTAATCTGGGTTACCTGTGAGCAACTATTCCTTCATATGTGATGATTTACTGTGGCTGAGGGGGGCTTTATGCCAACATTTCTGTCATATATTCTGTGTTTACACAATCTGACAACTTTAGTGACAGTCTTGTTAATAGGCAGTTTAATTTAGACCGAGAATAAAACGATATCTGGCATTTTATTTTTGTTGTCCTTTCTTCTCTTGTATTTCTCCATATGCTGTAATCAAGTGTCCGGTTTAAAATGCTACATGAAGTTGAACATTTGTCAAAGTGTATTATAAGCTGGGTTGATTGTGTAGGTTTAAAAGAAAACTGCGTAAAAACCAAAGTGTGCAATAAATGGTTGTATTTACTTGGAGAGGCCTCAGTTTGCTTTTATAACACTTCCTGTTAAGCACAAAGTCAGATTTGAGCTTCCCTGTTAAAATGACCACGAGGATGTGGACATAAACATAGTATTTATAAGTTATAGAATAGTAAATAAGGTAAAAATAAAAAAGGAAGCAGTTCCTTTTAAATCGTACAACTTTATTTACGAAATCCTGCGACAGATCGGCCCAACAGTAAAATTTCATTGTCAAACAAACTTAGAAAAGGTTAAAAAGAGAAAAAGATGAGAACACAGCCGAAGACCATTTGATCTCTCCATCTTGACGTAGTGTCCACCTTACTGTCCCCCCCTTCCTGGTCATCTGTTTTCCCTCACCTCTTCTCTTTCTATTATTTTATCTTCCTTTCTGTCTCTGTTTTTCCTCCATGATGGCCAGGGGGGCCAATCAGTCCAGCATCCACAATTTACTTCCATGTTCTTCTGTGGTTGGCTCTCAGCTACCATGGCGGCGACATCGGCTGTGGGTTCTGGAGGTAGGACATCACAACTGCGGAGATGGACAGCCTGCCGACAGCACAGAGAACAAGAATAAACATAATTTTAAGAGTGCTACAGGAAGTGAATCATTTACCTGCACTTCTGGAAGTTAAAATATTACTTGAAAGAGTAAAGAATATATGAAATACAGATTATTCTTTATCGAGGTGTAGATTAACAGTTTCCCCGCCATGGAATTTTCTTTGTTTGCATTTGCTGCGGTCCTTGAGTAGCTTTGTTTATGTGACTTTTTAAAATTACTTTTTACTTATTGCCTACAAAGCAAAACACACTCCAGTTGTCTTTTACTTATTCAGCAAGATATTTTGCTGACAAGTTTGGCATATCCTGAAACGATGCAGGCGAGCACAGGTCCGATTAGTAATAATGCAAGCGTGAAGATTTTATCCCTGAGCCGCTGGAGCCTCTGTGGTTAATTGGTCTAAACATGTGTGAAGGCAGGTTCTCCTGATAACCTCTATGACACACCTGCCCTCCACAGCTCTTTCATCTTGTATAGGCACTCACCTTTGTTTAATAACAGATGGATACTGACATCATATCTTGGCTGTTAACAAATGTCCTAAAATTGGCCTTGAACCAGCTTCTATGCACATGAGGCTGATGTATTAAGTCCATCGTCTGACATTATTTGCTGAGCCAAACATTTTGCAATACTAGACTAAGAGTGCATCAAGCTTGTCTTTAATTCAACCTCATCTTGACTATAGACCAGAAGGGGTTGTTTTTTTTTTCCTCCTTGCAAATCTGTCTGTGAGGCCTGGACAGGTGCCCTACTGTAGTACTCTTTTCTATGCAGATGGAAATGTATCGTCCCCGGGAGGTCAGACAGTTAAAAGGTTTTGGACATTAGAGCTGGCTCATCTCAGGCCCCAGTGGCAGACAGAAGTCAGTCTAACCTACAGTTAAAAGCTGCATAATTCAAAACTTCAATGTAAACACATAGTACCTTTATTAGCCATTTTCAAACCCAAGACTTTCAACAGAGAAGTGGGCCATTTACCTAATTAAACCAAATGAGTTTGTTTTCGAGTGAGCACACACTCTACCATAAACATTTATAGCAATATATCAAGTTTATGTAAAACAATAAAACTTATCAATTAATGGGAATAACTGTATCCCACCATTATGTATTTGATATAAAGACATCAAATAATGTAAAACCTTATTAACTAATTCTGTACGTTTCTTCAAGATAGAGTCCACTTTAAGTCAACTATAATATCCAACTATCTCCTTACTTTATTTTAGACAAAACTAAGATAGAAATTCAAGCAGTCTCCTCAACAGCAGACAGCGAGCACTTTATCCAGAAAGCTGGACTCTAATTAACTAACTAACTCATTTTAGATGTTTTCATCTGATCCCTTTGGTTCAGCCCTCTCAAAACGACATTTCTGGTAAATTGCAGCATGCTGTGATGTGTAGTGATGTTACAAGAAGTTCAGCATATATTTGTGTAAAATGGTGCACAAGAAGGACACACATACAGTATATCCTGTTTGCATAAACACATGGTGCTGTATACTCACATGAAGCTGCTCATCATCTGTTTGGTGTCCTCTGAGCTTCTGGAGTTTGCAAAGCTGATGAAAGAGCAGTAGACTGCGATCCAGGCACACCACTTCAGCTGAAACACACATGTTACAAAAGGTTAGCTGTACACGCATGTGGAATAATAGAAAAATAAAAATGTATATAATGGGACATCAGATGAAAAAGGCTCAGCTGTTGAAGTTTACTATGGAACTAGAGTAACACTTATCCCTCGTGCAGACTACACAACTTGCCATCTTGTGACGGGAGTCTTGAAGTCGTTGTGGCGTTCACACTATGTAACTGATCGGTGACAACACTCACATTGTGAGCTGACAACAACTGTCACCCGACGCTGGTCTCCAAACCACATTTTGTCAAGAAAACACACGTGAAATGTAAAACACGAACCTACACATGAGCTGCTGTTTGTTATTATAAAGATAGCAATTATTAAGACAAAAAATATGGGTGAAAAAATGGATCAGCACATGCAGGTAGCAAGGATTGTCTGAGCTACAGAGAGAGCTGGAGGGGAGTAAAAAGTGACTGATAACTGATACATACATTCAATTTCCAAACAGCATAACAGCACCCTGGGGGAAAAACCTGTTCTGAAGGGAATGGGTTGCCCTGGTAGTCCTTCATATGTGCCCGATATTCATACAGTATTAGCAGCTGCGTCAAGATCTTTAATTGCATTTTTAATATGATACTTACAGAAAACCCACAATCAGGCAGTCTTTGCCTGATACATTCTTAAAACAATTTAGGCTATTTGTTTTGGGGGGGAAAAAACAATGACAAGTAAACATAGTTGTTTGTTGATGGAAAGACAATCAATTAAACAAATAACTCTACTATTGGACTGAGAGGATACATGAGCTTACTGCTTTCCCGTCTTTGTTTAATTTACTTTGTCCTCAGTGCTGAAAGTCAAAAGCTGCCCTTCATCCTTTCATCTAAAAAGGTGAGTTTACCTTTAATCTTCTAAATGGAACAATTGAGCTGGACCAAGGTCTACCATTCAGGGGCAAAAGCCCTTTCACACAACACACACGTAAACACAGAGGCAGAGGACAAAAGAGAGATGGGAGTCACAGTGGTTCTACTGTGTGTGTGTGTGTGTGTGTGTGTGTGTGTGGAGGTCACCTTGAGCATCAGTCCGCACATGCTGAAGATCATGCCGAGCAGGTTCATGTAGTCAGGTGTGGGGTCCTCCAGTGTGGGATTGGCCTCTGTGCTGGGCGGCTTGTACCTGCGACACCACCAACTTTTATTAACCAGAAACACGATGCAACAATTTTTTATGTTAGATTCACTGTTAAACCACTTGTCTTCTGTTACAATTACAGTATCACATGATTACGCCCATATGCGATTGCTGAACGACATTACATTCCAAAACCATGGTTATTACTCACATGGCAGCCTCCAACTTTTCCGGGTAGTCAACCAGATTTTTTAACCTGGCTGCAGGGATTTACTCCCATTCAGCCGAAAGAGAATCAGTGAGGTCCAATACTGATGTTGGGTGATTAGGCCTGGCCAGAGGTGTTGGATGGGGTTGAGGTCAGGGCTCTGTGCAGGCCAGTCAATTTCCTCAATACAAAACTGGGAACACCATTTCATTATGGACCTAGCTTTGTCATCTATGAAACAGGACCTTCGACAAAATATTGTCACAAAGTTTCCCTTCAGTGGTAACGTTATAGTATAGAGGCTAATATGTGAGGTCCAGAACAAAGCTACACTAAAATATGTGGAAGGGGTACAGTGATGTCTTAGTGGGACCAAATTGATTACAGTCGTCGTTCATTACCGTGCCCCTGTGGTCTCACACACAGCCTGAAGAAATCAACTAACAACTAACGTTAACTAACAAGATTGGTGGTCACAATTGAGACAAGGGCAAATCGCAATAAGACACAAAACAACCCATTTGCTAAAACACGATATGTTTAGTGATTCATTATTTAGTCACTGACAATCGACTACATATTAAGCAGTTATCTTTATTTATTGGGTGTTCTGGGGAGTGTAAATCCCACAGCTCAATCAAATCCCTTTTAAGCTGTGCTCATGACTTGTGTTAAAGGTTAGCTAGTTGGCAGTTAGCTACCGTTAACCAAGCTAATATGGTTAGCTAAGTCCATCAACAAAAAACTTCGTTTTTCTGCATGAAATGCTCACCTTAAAATCTTATTTTGTCTCCTCGGGTCTGCCATATTGTTGGTAGACATAATGTGTTACAATAATGCGCTCCTGTTGAGACTTATTATTAAGAAATGTATACACTCCGGTTACCGACAGACAGCTGACCAGCCTCGTCATGAATCGAGTTAGAAGGGCTAGGTATATCCGGTGGATTTCAAAATAATACTGTAAAGCGATCCGCAGCCACAAGGTGAAACAGGTGGGGGGGGGTGGTGTGGAACTTTTATTTTGACAAGAGAATGGGATCCCAGTGTGCATTGCGCGTACTAGCAAACATGATGAGAAAAATGAATGGAAGAAGCTGTTGATTGTTACAAACAAGGGGATAAACCTATTTTTTTTAGTAATTGCACCAGGAACGTCAACATGCCACTCCTTTGAAATTGAACTCTGGTTAAACGATTCAAGTAAGTTAACTCAGTAGCACTGAAAAACTGCTGTAAGTAGGAACTGATGCGTTTAAGCTGTCTGATGTTCAGTAAGTAAAACACGCTTAATGTATTAATAATCCACTGTTCAAACTAGTAACTACACAAAAATTTATCCCATAAACTTCCATATAGCTCCATAGGTTTCCATTGTAACTTCTATTAGTGTCCTTTGAGAAAGCTAACGAAGTGCTGTCATTTTCATGTGGCAAGAAATAACACAAACCTACTTTATAGTTAGTGTTGCAGTATTTAAACCTTTGTTAAACCACAGCACACTTAACTGTCTTGAAAGGGGAGTTATTAGTGTGGCTCACATGTTTGTGTTGTGTTTCTCCACACAGGTTATGTCATGGCGTTTCCTCAGCCCAGACCTCAGGCTCCTCAACTCCCTCAACATCTGCTCAGGACCATAGACTGTGCGCAAGGAGCTGTGAGAGCTGTTCGCTTCAACGGTGCGAAAGAGACAACATATTTATCATCCTAATGTTGAGATATCGGCATAAGTAGCTTGCTTTTTAATGAGAGATGTGGGTCATCCATGAAATGTATTTATACCTTTTTTATTTATACCTGCCTCTGTCTGATGTGTCCGTGCTTGGTCAGCTGATGGGAACTACCTGCTGTCTTGTGGCAGTGACAAATCTCTAAAGCTGTGGAGTGTGAGCCGAGGGACCCAGCTGAAGACCTACAGTGGCCACGGATATGAGGTTCTGGATGCTGATGGGTGAGGGAATTGTCACAGCCTCCTCCACAGTGCGTTGGGAAGGTCAACCCACCAATATAGCATTAAAATGCATGATAAATGAGTGTGTGTGTGTGTGTGTATGAAAGAACAAATGCTGAAGCTATATTTGAACCCCGCAAGACGTTACAGTGTTTGTTTCTCATTGGCTGTTTCAACAGTTCCTTCGACAACAGCCAGATTTGCTCCTGCAGCTCGGATAAAACAGTGATCCTGTGGGATGTCGCCACGGGCCAGGTCACACGTAAACTCAGAGGTCATGCCGGGGTCAGTTCTGCTGTTTATAACTCTTTGTAACCCAATTGTTATTTTGTCATTTATAAAGTTTAGTTTAATTTTTTTGCACCTTTATTTTACCAGGCATGTTAATTAAGAAAGATTCTTTTTTACAATAACGACCTGGCAGGAGACAAAGGCCTCCAATAGGGAATGGGTACTGGGATTAAATAAAATAACACAAACAACAGACAGAAGACGCTGGAAAACAACACAGTCCCAACAACAAACCTTCAAACCCAGGCACAAAGACACTCACAAAAAAACAAATTAAAGAATATTAAAACACTCAAATTTCCTGCTTACAGAAAGTCAACTGTGTCCAGTTCAACGAGGAGGCGACTGTCATTTTGTCTGGTATGTCTTCACTCATGTAAAATGTCTACAGTGCACAATACATTATCCAGTATACATTGTGTATTTTCTTGGATAGTGCATTGTTATGTGAAATATCTTGCCACTTGAACATTGAGTTTCTTGGTCTGTATTTATGTTAAATTGTAACCAACTCATTAACACTAATACTTACCATTTACTGATTCTAATTGCGTTTTAGTGTTAATTCCAGTAAACATGTATATCAATTTATTTGTGGTCTGGGCTTGTTTTCTCTTCATCCAGGGTCCATAGATGGGACAGTTCGGTGCTGGGACACCAGGTCCAGAAGATTTGAGCCCATCCAGGTTCTAGATGAGGCTCAGGATGGTATCAGCAGCCTGAAGGTGGCACAACACGAGCTGCTCACCGGGTCAGCACAGAAGACTTAAGATTGTATTTATCACAAATATATACACCACTTATATCTTCTTGTCCAGACTGCAGCATTGAACTGGAAGCAAATAAAGGGAAAATGTATTCCCCCTTTTACATTCCCACCAGTTAGACAGAGATTTAATTTGGAGATTTCACTGTGGCACTATTTAAAAACTATTATCTGGTAATTAGGTCTGTGGATGGGAGAGTGAGACGCTACGATCTGAGAATGGGACAGCTGCATGTTGACTTCATCAGCAGTTAGTAATCTTTTCATTCTATCTTTTCAGCATTCATCAATAGTAAACAATGAATCCTACTGTTGTTAGTATTAGGAGCAATAGTAGAATTAGCAGAAGTACAATTGTTGTAGTAATAGTAGTGAATGAAAATAATGACTTTTGGAAACCTATGTCCATGAAACTACAGAACCTGTAACTTGTGTGTGTTCCAGGTCCCATCACATGTGTGTGTTTCAGTCAGGACGGTCAGTGCACTCTGAGCTCCAGTCTAGATTCAACAGTCAGACTACTGGACAAGAGCACTGGGGAAATGCTGGGAGAGTGAGTGCTGTTCAGTCTCATTTTCAGTGTGGTGTGTCCCCATCATGGCTTCACTTGCTAGTCAACTAATCTAGACAGCAGTTTTTCTCCACTGCACACATTATTACTGGGCCTCCTCATTTATCAGCTTTTTTTTTTAGCAAGTAATCTTTTTGTTTTCATATTATAAAGCATCTGAAAAGTGGGGTATAAAAATAGCTAAGGCAGAAATCCAAGTGGAAATTTGAGTAAAGTTGCGATTTCATTCTGTATTTCACTTCACTTTATATCCGTGAAAGAATGTTTGAACCCCAACAGGACATGACTCAGTGACACTCATGAAGAGTGTCTTCTTGCAGCAGGAAACATAACATATTTTAAACGCACACTGACATAGAAATGTGGGTGTCAATCCTTTTAAACCAATCTGCTCGTTCTAAAAATCAGTATTATTGGGTAAAAATCTGCATAAAACCAAACGCAATGAGGCTTAACTAACAATTTCAGCATATTGAACATATAAATGCAAAAAGTAGCAGTTCGGCCCATATTTACTGTACCTATCTAAACCAGCTCAGCCCAACAAACAACAAGTGAACATCACAAAATTCTAAAAGGTACAATTTATTGTAAAGGTGTATCTGTTGTATTGTCCACCCCCTGTAATGTTGGTATGTATGTAATTTATGCATATTAATTCAGACTCAAATCAGAATCAGAAAGAGCTTCATTGCCAAGTAGTATTTTACACGTACGAGGGATTTGCTTTGGTGATAAGGTGCTACACGTAGATAAACATACAGTTGAGATAAATAAATGTAATGTAATAATAATAATAAATTTCTATATCTGTTTCTAACATAAGGTTAGATTATTATGATGTTTCTGTTTGTTTCTTTGTGTCACTCAGGTATACAGGACACAAGATGAAGGGCTATAAGCTGGACTGCTGCCTGTCCAGTAAAGATACTCACGTCCTTAGCTGCTCAGAGGACGGTCATGTCTACTGCTGGGACCTGGTGGAAGTAAGTGTGTGGTTACATTTATGTTCATAATGCATTAAACACAATGAATTCAACATAGGCATTTTAGAAAGTGCACAGAAAAACAGGGAAAATATGGAGCTAGTTGGCACTCCACCAATACTAAACTGCTTTGTATCATGCAGAAGAGCAGCCTGTAACCTTTGGGTTGCATCTCACCAGCACATGAATGCTGCAGAAACTTTCAAATATGATCTAACCTTATGTTAGAAACAGATATAGAAAGTGTACTGAAAGCATACAAATTCTGTATAATGTGTTTTTTGTTGTTGTTTTTCTCACCACCAGGGATCTTTGTCCTTGAAACTGCCAGTGGGGAAAGCGGTTGTCCAGTCATTGTCCTTCCATCCCACAGAGACCTGCCTCATTACAGCCATGGAGGGGCGTGTTCAGGTGTGGGGCGCAGAGCCAGAGGAGACAGAGGAGGATGCAATGGCCACATAATTGGTGAAAATACTCAAAAGCCACATTTACATGCTAAGAGGATTGATTTATTTTTCTGTTATTTCAACATCATACAGTCTGTGAACATTGTAACTTTAAAACCTGATAAACTTTATGCTTGAAAACTAATTAATTGATTAATTAAAAATAACTTACTCTCACATTTCGTTTTTGACTCTAAACACAGGACCATTGAAGGTAGTTTTTTTTATTAACAGTGTGAGCATTTCTAGCAGAACTTGTACCCTGGCATACTTGTCAAATGTGATACAGGGTAGGGACAGTGAAAAGTACACATACCTGAGCAATCAGACCTTTTTGAGAGGCACCAGGAAAATCACACAGATTCCTAAGGGAATCGTTATTTCTTTGCCTTTTGTTGGGTCAGTCAAAAAGGGAATAGTCAATACATGAAAGTGAATCACATTTTCAAAGGCTCATGGTGGTAGCCAAAGGGGGAAATGTTTTATTTTAGCCAGAAGTGAGCTACATAGACACACAGCAGCCATTCAGGTACAGCTAACATCTTAGCCAGCTCATCAGTCTGTCTTTATGACTGTTAGCTTTACAAAGATTTAGTTCTCTAGACATGTCATCTGACACAAAAACAGAAAATGATGTTGAACTCTGGTTCACAGATGTACAGCGCACATGATCTGGATGTGAATCTAATTCTAGTTAAATGATCTAGGACTTGGGTTTTTGTATGTGTGCAAAACATATATTTTTGTACAAAACCTTGAATAAACATATTCTTGTATACACCACATGCCATTTTTCTCTTGAAATTAATGATCCCCCCACCACACTGTTGAGTTCTGTACACGTTTATTAGGAACTTTACGCACAATGAACATATAGATAGGCGCATTACAAAATAAGTTAATCA